TTGGTCCCCCCCCCCTGACAGTTTTCCAGCTTATTTCACCTAAAGAATAACCACCCTAACGCTAACGTGACCTACTTTAACTCTAACCTAACCCTAACGTAACGTAACCTAACTCAACCCTAACCTAACCTAACCTAACCTAACCTTAAAATTAACGCCCCTAATGCTAACCGAACTTGGTAGAAAAATCTTTGACTAGGTTAACAAGAGAGACATTCAAACAGACGAATTTTTGAGAATTTAAAAGCCTGTTTATTTCAGTATGAGATTAATTACCTGTTTACCTGGACTATAATTAACCTGTACCTGTGTTACACCTTGATATATATCCTTTCACTATATTCCTTAATCTTCCCTTTATATATATTTTCTTTAAACGATCGTCAATAACAACAAAATAATATCAATATTTTTAGGAAAAGTCGCTAGGCTTAGTAAAAAAAATATATAATACGTTTTTAATATCTTACTGAGGTATACTTTTTGGAGGGGGAAGAGAGGGGGGGAGGGAGGAGGGAGGGGGGAGGGAGGGAGGGGAAGAGAGGGGTTCATATCAGGCGTTCATAATTGGTTCGATACTCTCTCTCACTCTCTCTCTCTCACTCTCTCTCTCTCACTCTCTCTCTTTCACTCTCTCTCTATCTCTCTCACTTAAAAAATAAATAATTAATAAAAAATCCTACGTAACAAAAAACAACAAAGAAACAAATAAACACAATTTTCTCAGGAACAACAAAAGAATGATTTAATAAAATAGATCAAGCTTAGAGTCGAAGCTTATCATCAAGACAGAACTCAAGCTTAATGTTATCTTACGTGTGTGTGTGTGTGTGTGTGTGTGTGTGTGTGTGTGTGTGTGTGTGTGTGTGTGTGTGATAGAACATATCTTTGTGGGGTGGGAAGTGACGTGTGTTTTATTATTATTATTATTATTTTTATTGTTATTATTATTATTATTATTATTATTATTATTATTATTATTATTATTATTATTATTGTGATAGTTGTTGTACCCTGTGTTGGTTAGGTTAGGTTAGGTAGCTTCGGTTAGGTTAGGTTGAGTTAGAGCATGTCAACGTTAGGTTAGGTCAGGTTAGGTTAGATTAGTTAGGATAGGTTAGAACAAGTTACAACAGGTCAGCTTTAGGTTAGGTCAAAAATATACAACAAATCAACTCAGATTAAACTCCAATTCCAAATCCGGTTCTGTACATGACTAAAACCCAATTAACAAAAACAAAAAAAAATTTAATCACACCAGAATCACAACAAACATCAATTAGCTACTTTTAATTAAGGTTACCTGTCCTTACCTTCAGCAGGTGGACGGTGCCTGTAGTAGGGTGAACGGAGAAACATGGACGGGTGCCATTGTTGTAGATATCGTCACCCGTCACACTGTACGTAAGGTGACCGTAAGGGCCTGCGTCACCGTCTATGGCCTTCACTTGCTACGGGAAGAAGAGACGTAAAGACGGTTGGTTAGTTAGGTTAGGTTAGGTTAGGTTAGTTTGTTTTGGCAAGAGTGCGTTGTTGGGATAATTCTCTCTCTCTCTCTCTCTCTCTCTCTCTCTCTCTCTCATATTTACATCCTTATTCACCTACTTTTTTATTAATACAATACCTAGTAATTCAACAACACTCATTACCTATCTATTAATTCACCTGTTAATTTATTCACCTGTTTACCTAATGAACCACCTACACCAATATTAATTCACCTGTTAATTTATTCACCTGTTTACCTAATGAACCACCTACACCTATATTAATTAAACTATTCACCTATGTAATTTACCTTATATTTATTCACATATCGCATATCATTTCCACCTGACTTGCAATTGGCTGTATGAGTCTGCTTAAATGAGACTCCGAGCAGCTTAAATGAGACTCCGAAAAGTTTAAATGGGACTCCGAGCAGCTTAAACGAGACTCCAAGCAGCTTATACTATACTCCCAGCTTAAAAAAACTCCCAGCAGTTTAAACGAGACTCCCAGCTTAAACGATATTCCCAGCAGCTTAAACTCCCAACTTAAACTAGACTCCCAGCTTAAACTAGACTCCAAGCTTAAACGAGACCCCCAGCTTAAATGGGTCTCCGAGCAGCTTAAAGGAGACTCCCAGCTTAAAAGAAACTCCCATCTTAAGCGAGACTCCCAGCTTAAACGAGACTCCCAGCTTAAACGAGACTCCGAACTGCTCGTCTTCTCATTGCTGTTTCTTCACTGTCTCATTTCAGCTCAAGACTGTTTCGAACCGTAGGGTAAAATGTGCCGTTGTTGTTGTTGTTGATTTTGTTTTGTTTTGTATATAACTTCAACTTGTAGGTGTGTGTGTGTGTGTGTGTGTGTGTGTGTGTGTGTGTGTGTGTGTGTGTGTGTGTGGGGGGGAGGAGAGGTGGCTAGGATCATTCAAAGATTTAGACACCCCAGTTTATTTCATAATTTGGATTAAATTCTATCATCTAATCTAACCTTACCTAACAGATTATCTAGC